TCTTTTAGTAACATTGACCATCATTTTTGAACAAATGCGATTAGTTATATAATATAAATATAAAATATTACAATATATTTATGTCGTAAAAAGTGAAAATAATTTAGCATTAAAATGAAGTTTTCTAGAAGCAAATGCGTGTAAGTCACGTTCTACTATCCTACATGCCAAGTCGCAATCCATATTTAGTTCAAACATAAACGTGTTTTTTCTCGAATTACGTCCTGCTTTCTAGATACGCTGCACGCAATCGTGAAATTCTAAAAGCACGAGCTTTTATAGTGACCACAATTTCGATATACTCTTATTTTATCATATTAACGACACTTCAATTCTGTAATAAAAATAATATATTAATAACACATAAAAGATCACATCCTGTACACATAATTAAATACCTTTGAAATTAATATATTATATTATGCTATTAAAATAATAGGTGTACTTGAACATATTATATCCGTGATGTAATTAGACAGATAAAGCTTTTGAGGATAAAAAGATTTTCATTGAAGTTAACGTCTGTATATTCAACGAATGTCTTTTTTTGTTCTCTACATGAGCGATGTAACGCTTTCATGTCTGCAATTCGTATTTACGCATTTATGTGAAACAAATGGGAAAAAAAGATTTAAAATCGACTGCAATTTACTAGACATGTAAATGTAATAAAGTGTATACCACGTAAGCTTCTTTAATTATAGAAAAATTAACTGTACAAGATGTTAACATTATTATTTAATATTCCTAATGGCGATGGAAGTGAATTTATCGATACGTCACAAAAATAGAATATAGACAGAATATCAAAAATAGGATATAGATAGGATAAAAATATCCGACACGGAGAGTATATTGGTAGTATCAAAATATCGAAGGCATCCCTTTTCACGAATGACACGTTGTTGTTCTGTATTTGCACACGTTACGTCAAACCTCCCCCTCTTTTCTATCTATGTATTAGTTTTATCTTCGAAACAAAGCGCATGCAATCCCGCATGGATATAGGTACGACGAGCATCATATACATTTTATCGGACATGAACGACATTTTACTTCCGCCAATTATTTATAGTTATACGATATCAATGAACTAATGCCGTACAGATCACAGACTATTATTAAATAGACATCACAATGGCCTTGTAAATTGTTTTGCGCGGATCAATTTTATGCTATTCAAAACGCATATAGAACACGGGCATCGAGCTTTTGATATCGCTGTTGAAAATCGCAACATGTTCAGTACAAGTGGCTAACAAATGAGCTTACGGAATTAATGAGCTTATACCAGAACGATGTGATAAGTGGAGTTAAGAACCACGGACGTGCACCATTTATTAACTTTATCGCGAAAACTCTGGCCGGAACGCACAATCGAAACAACATACGCGTCTTTATCTCGACCTTTTTCCACGATAATTCGCAGGTATAACAAATCGCGCGGTTGATGCGTGCGTGCCTGTTGGTCGTTCCATCAATATATCCCCCACGGTTTTAATTTATCGCGTTGCATATAGAACATGTACAAACTTGGCGTCGTAAAATATACAAATTAAAAGCAAGTTTAGTATTCGCAACTATATTGCACGCGTCGATTTTTTCGTTACTTTTACTCAATTATTTTTCTTTCAAAATCTTATTTTATCCATTACAAGTACGCCGCGTGCTACGTTCGCAGCGCACCGCATATTTAGAATGTAAGATCTAAGCCGTAAGAAAAGGCTGCTAGATATCGATTCTTGGCTGTTACACTGTCGCTATATTCTAGTACCGTCGTACTGCGGTAAATATTACATGCACCGGATAATAGACGTGCCTTTCTTTATTCTACCATGTATCAGTAGTGCGTTTATAAACGGGGATTACTCTCGCAAGCTATTCGTTTTCATAGTTCGCAAATAGAATCATTTTCATATCTATGTACGATCGCTGAGCGGGCGTTATCAGGTTATTACGTCTAATTGTAAGTTAAAAATCACTGTTGAAAATCACGGATTCTTTGATTACACGAAACAGTGCTTAAAAGAGCAGATCAAAGAGAGAATTTTAACTTCCTTTTGTTCATTGGACTTTATTCTCAATCCGCTAACGCTTGATTTAAAAGTATTTTAGATTTTTGGTTGTCGCATGTTAGTACCTTTACAACGATTCGAATTTCATCAAGAAAGAATCCGGATGATGAAATATTGCGAAAGATATCAATAGCAATTTTCGTATGTATTGCCAAGATAAAAATATTGAAGACTCGAGTACGAATGAAAAGAGAAAATTTTATTATTACGTACATACATCGTACTCTATATCCGTAGTAATTCTAAGCGGTAAATCGCATAACTTCAAAGCTCAGCTAACACGCCAAGGAAAATAATTTGCATTCGTAACTTCATCAAGATGCTAATTTTGCGTTAGATCGTGAATTTAATAATCTCTCCACGTTACACGAGTTGAAGAGAACACATCGCTTCGCGATACTGGTTACTGCGAATCTGCGCAAAAACAAATTAAAAATATGACTCATAAAATATCTTTTGACAAAAAAAAAACTCCATTCGAATTGCCGATTGATATGACGGCAGATATTTCACGGAGATTTTGTCGGAGCGGAATTACCACTACAGTTAATTTACGGCTTCAAACTGAATCGCACTAACGTATGAACTATCCGATGTTGGTTTCGAGAGTTTACCGATATGACCACGTGTGTAACTGTGTACGTCTAATTGCATGACGTCGCATCGCAAGAGATATACATGTCATCTCGAGATCTCTCTCAAGGGATCAATCGTCTAGATCCCAAAGCAACTACGAGTGATTCACCTTAAATATAAATTTAGCTTTCTAGATGTATCACGTAAACAACATATAAAATAAAACTTTGCGGCTATAATGTAAAAAACGTGAAAGTTAGTTTAACAAGTTTAAAATGAGTCGATTTGGTATAGTCTATAACTGTCAACCGAGTCCGATTATCCATTATCATGCTTATTTACCGATCGTACGAAACTAGAATTAGCAAGTTGGAACAGGACTTGGTCCTTGGCCCGAATCAAGCTCATATCTCCAAGAAATGTGTACTGCGAGCTCTGATGTTTGTAGCGCGTGCGACGGTCGTAAATGCACATGCAACCTTCGGAACGCGCATGCCAGCGAAATCGGTTTACACGCGTCAGCGTGACTGATAATGCAATCTCCGTATGAGACTACGAGACTACGCGCATGAAAGTGTAAATAAAATCTCGCAGTTTGTAAAAGTGACATTGCGATTTTGAGTGTTACGATTATTTTACTTGTCACATTTCGCTTCTCTCACTTCGTAAGGTCGACAACTATATATATGTATATACTAAATATCCAAATTGAAATACAGTTATGCACATCCAAAAGGGAATTAGTCGCGAGACATTTTAATGCCATTAGCTCGCAGCGGTTTATCTCGAACCAGGCATGCATATGTTCTATATGTGTATGAAGTCTAATGCGTCACGTAACCTGCTCGTGGATATGAGACATCGGAGTAAATTGACACAGCTTTGCCTGTGACAAGCGGTTAGGATTATTAAGCAATTTCTACACGTTTAATTATGCTCAGTCGTACACGAATGCACGCTGTACTCTTTTGTCTTAGCCCAAATATTATCTATACATATTTCAACATTATTTAAAACAAATTTAAAAGATATCTCCGAAAAATTTGCTGACATAAAAAATAAAGGAGAAAATATTTTAGGCAAAAGACATATATATCAGCAGATTGTGAACTTCGTAGCGTATACACCGCGTTTGTAAAGTCAGTCGTGTAACGAGTGTCAGGACTCATGGTGATCCCCGTCACGTGTTTGAACACACATACGTCGCACGCGTGTCAAGCGCACACGAATGTCACCCGCTGTCATTCTGTGAACGTCGAATAAATCATTGCCGACGAGAGATATTCTCTGTTTGCTTGACGGCCGAATCTCTTGCTTTGAATGCTTAAAACTTGCCAATTCAACGCTACATATATACGCATATAGTAGTCGCAATAAATCGTTGATATCGAAAACATGTGTCGTTTTATTAAATCGTCAAGAAATAACGAAATTAAAGTAACTGTCATTGAAGAATATAACACGACAACTAAAGCCAAATTTTTGCTTTACGAGACATTGATTACAAATTCTTTTAAAGAATATCAATGTAATTGAGGTAAATACAACATATCTAATATACACATATTATGTGTATATTAGGACGAGAAACATATATTATTAAATACGAGTATTTTAATGACGAATAAACGAAATTATGTACAAGAAAAGATTTGCTAACAATGTTTGCAAAGTAAGTAAAACACGTTTTAAAATAAACGTTTTTCTAAATAATATAAGTATTGTTCTATCAAAGATATGTTATATCGATCGATCAATCGCACACGATTACTATCTAATCACGCGTGTATGAAGTTGGAACAGAATAACATAGAATCTGAAATCACACGTCACCATTGTACTCAGCCTATGTACATACTTAGGTATGTAGATTGCGTGCCTCGACACGTGCCATTAATGGTTGATGGCTGCGAAACTCTCTCACGCCATTTTCTATCCTTCCGCGCACTCCAATAAAAGGTCAACTCCTTCAACGCGGAGATGACTTTGTCGCGCGATAGCAATTCGTATTATGTAAATTGTAAGGCACGTTTTTCGTGGCCCACAATTTCATAACACGAATTTACACTTTGTGCAACATGCAATTTTTTTCTCTCGCTTACTATTAAATCTATTACTCGTTTTTATGTATCCGTCAGCATTCGATGCTCGAACGTCTTATGCATGAAAATATTTCATTTTTGCAACAAATAAGATAGCATTATTTGCAAAATCTCATTTATCTCTGTCGATTGTTGTCAAATATTTGCTACAAGCGTTCCGATACACCTATCTTTACAGATATTATTTTTTATCAACGAAATACATAATGCGCTAATATAGATTCAGAATTGATATGGTTGAGCTCACCATTACGTCAATGCGTCGTTCCTCATGCTTTGGCGCCCGATGCGAACATTCCTCGACGTGCGGACGACTTGTCGATCGAATCCGCGTAAGCTCGCACGTCGCACCAATTCATGATCGATGCACTTCTTCGCAAATACTCGTCACGTTTCCGAACGGCAAACGACCGGAAATGGGACGCGCTCGGGATGAACGCTTTTCGAACGAAATCGCCACCACGCGAGATCGCGCGTCCGCCAGTCACATTGAACGATTGCGTTCCTACAAAACGCACGCACAATGCTCGCTTTTCCGATCGTACACTCTCATTCACGACCTCTTATACGTAAATCGAAAATTCCAGTCTTCTAATCTTGAGATCGAAACTCCGATCACGAAGAGATTGTCATGGGTTAGGTTTAGGATCCTTACAACCTCGAATTAATTACGAGTTTCACGAGATGTACATTCATTCTAGCATACGAAAGCAAAAAGGCGCAACAAGAGCTTTATTACACTAATTGTAAGTATACGATATCAAGAAAGCATTTGAAAGCTCACGCGCAAATGACCTAGCAACGTAAATAATGGCGCACTTCAAAAATACTTTGTAATTCCGGACTTAACTTTTAACGAGAAGTAGGGAACGTGGTAAAGCCACGCAAAGAAGGGGTTGTTAAGCACAGCCGGGAGGGTGGTGCGATGCACATGACTCTCCAGCGGCAGTTGACGCGACACTAGAGAAAATCGGAGTTCGCTTGCCGCCACAGGACTCCGGACGCCTGCGCTCTCCGTTCTGGCCACCACGAGCCACAGGATTTCGCATAAACAGCGCGTCCGCGATCCTGGTATTCCGAGAGATGAATGTATATATCATGAACGGTTGAAAGTTCCTTACACGATTCGTACTCTCTTTTATTCGAACAAACAGAACGAATTATTCGATTGTCGATCGAAAATGTTTACTTTCAAGCAGTTGATTAAATAGATATGTAATAAATATTCCAGCAGTTGCGGGTAAGTTTCACATATATTTTTATAACCAGAGATTCATCCGTTTAGATTAATAAAAGTATTGTGAAAAAAATTACCAGTTTAGATGGATATAAAAAACTAGTAAAAATTCAGAGCAAAATTTAATAACGATGCGGTAGTTAACACACTTTCGCGATTTCTATTATAAAAGATTATTGGAATCCGTTATCACAACGTTAAAGTGAGATGCACATTGCTATGTATAATGAAATCATAACACTATTCTAGATAGACGACGGCTTCGTGCCGTCGAGTGAAAATCAACGGGATAGATCAAGTTTAATCCGCATTCAGCAAGTTATCACGACTATATAGTCAATTAAGCTATAGTAAACACGCAATAACTATTTGCAGTCTCTAAATATCTATCCCGTAGACGGTCGGGACAGTTTACGCCAGCAAGTATATCATTAGTACATTGCAAAGGTAATTTACGTGGGCTTTAAATAGCTGGCAATAAAAGGAACTTCCGCTTTAATTCGATATAACGTCACGGGTCATTAAGTCTGGCCGTTCCTCATCATTTTATCGCTAAGATACCTCGCAGGTATCAATAGTCGCGCGAACGACGACTCTGCCGTTAAAAAAATTATATAAAGAAAATTAATGAATGTTTCATTCAGTCATTATATATTGTACTATACAAAAATTGTATGACCTTTTAATAAACGTATCTTTGATGTACATAAATTTTTCTTATACAATTGTAAAAAAATAATCTGTAGATTTCATGCAACTCTTAACATACAAAATATAAAATTGCGTTGTTTCTTTCAGATTATTTAAATTTAAATAAGATACACAACTGTTGTTTCTTTAGATAATTATATTTAGAGATACTCTTTACCATAAACCTATATAAATTAATAAGTCGATTAAAAATCTTTCTTTCTTTTTTTGTTATACATACATATATATATAATATATAAATGTACATAATAATATAAATTCAGTTTAAGTATTAAATTTTCCTTTTCTCACACTTTCTTTTCTAGCTAACTGCTCTAAAGTTTATTACGCAGCGTAATCCCTTTTTCTTTTCATCACAAAGTTACTCTGATGTAACATGGAATGATGATCTCGTTTAAGTTTGCAAAGTGCTATGTCACACAACGATTTTAACCGTAAAATTAGAATTTTTTTCTAATGACCGTGTATTGAATAAAGACATATATATAAAACGTTCGAAAGAAAATTACCCACTTTAATTATAATAAACTAAATATACAATAACCGATTATACAGATAAAAATTATAAAACTACATTTAAATAAAGATATAATGTAGTATTCTACTTATTTTACTAATGCGCTAATGAATATGCAGTTGAAGAGAAACTCTCAAGAAGGAGAAATGAAACGTAATGATAGCGTTTGAAAAATGAATAAAATGAAATTCCCATGGGAAAGCTTTTATACGTTCATTTGCATCAGAAACATTTCTCCGTCATCAATTATAACTGAAAAGCAGAGATTCCAATATTTCTTTGCCCATCCAATACATGTTTTAATGTCAAACTATCTCGAGACTTAAGATCTTTTTGACGTACATTATTCCTCTCGAGATATTTCTCATGAAAGAATACATTTTAATTATAACTATAAGAATAAGTCATATAAATATTTACCTATACTGTAGTATATATGAAAACTAACAATAAATGATTTTTCCAAATAATTAATTCAATGTTAATAAAAAATTTACATGTATTAATATGTTGCATACATTCGAAAATTCTTCATTCTAACTATTATACACAAATACATTTCTTCTGAATGACATAATACAATTCTTCGAAATTTACAAGCAATTAAAAAATTGTAAATAAAGTATCGATGATTCATACCTGGCATAATTCCAATCTTTTATCACAATCAATTTTATTTTTTATCGTAAAGCAGCTACCAATACGCTTCTCTGAATATACCGTACTTCATGTTTAAAAATTACAGATTCGGCGGATGTTCAGGCAGACAATCTTTAATTTCATGTAAAATCTCTAACATACGCATCTTATACATTGGCTCCTTTTCACATTGATAGCGCACAAGTTCCGCTCGTTCATCCCCGTACAAAACTTGTTCAAGTTTTTCGGTCGAATTGCAAAAATAATCCGCGGTTGTTTCACTGGATAGTAGCATTATCTGCAGATTGAGCGCAGCATAAACAAGCCCTACGTTTCGCGCCTCTACGTAACTCTTTTGAAATGCCGTCCAGGAGAGACAATTTTCCACATCGAGACCCTCCTCCGACAAACCCCGAGCTAATGAATCGTGATAAATTCTGGCGTAAAAATCGAAATGACGATCTCTGGTATTTCGATCAGTGGTTAAGTACAGGCAACACACAAAATCGATAGCCGGAGGAGAATAACAAAGAAACTGCCAATCTATTATATAACAGCCGTTTACTTGGCCGGCTAGGTCGTATCGAAACATTAAATTATTTGCCCAAGTGTCGCGATGACAAATAACGTTTCTATGTTCCTTTGATGGTGCCAATAATTTTGAAATTTTTCGAGACCATTCAGTAATTCGGCGCTTAACAATGATCTTCTCTTTATCGTCGAATTCCTCGATGAAATCGATCATAGCACAGACACCTGTAATACTGGAGATGAGGGCTCTTTCCGACCTGTCATCCCCCTCGACAAAGAGTACCTCCTTCAGCAGTGGTCCGTAAAGATCGAAGATGGTCCGGCCGCTCTCCCGACAAAGTCTCTCGTCCAGTAGCAAAGACCTCGAGTGGAGTCTTGCAAGCGTTCTCAGTAGCCAAACGCAATGCTCTTTGTCGAACGGTACGTATTTGTTCAGTGTAGCATAACCATCTATCGACGCATCCTCTAGAATGATGATGACGTCTCGTTTGCAAAAGTAACACTCTACCATCCACTTTGGGGGACCACCCGCACCCATCCGTCGCACCAAATCCGTATAAACGGTGATCTCTTTGTTGAACGTGTCAAACCGTTGCAGAAATTCGAACTGCGGGCTGTGAGCCGGCGGTGGAGCTTTGGCGAAGAACTGCAAACTTTGCGCCTTGCCGTCGATTCGCGCCGTAATGCGAAGATGATAATATTGGCCGAGGAAACCTTTCGTTCCGTCGAGAGACTCCAACTTCCAATCAATAAGTTGAGAATTGTCACTACCGAATTTGCATTCCAATATTTTATTAATGTCACAATCGGTCAAAAGAGACGTTTCCCGACGATTTTGCGGAGAAATCGGTAACACGGAGCACGTCTTGTCGACATTTATCGCCGTCATATCGTATTCACTTGTCTAGTCTATTAAGCAACATCGACGATCGTACACCAAATTTATATCCAACTCTTATCCAACTCTCACATGATCGTAAGAGGAAAAAGTTGTTCTGATAAATTTAGCGAAAGATATACTTCCACAAATATTTAACCTACTATATTCATACAAAGGTTTCAAATAGCTTACAAATAGATTGCTCGGCAGACGATGCAGTGACAAATAGCAGATTGAGATAATTTATGTCACACTGTAAATCTATCCGATATACTTTAGCAATGTGACGAGAAAACGAATCTCATGATATACGCCGTTCCGAGCAAAAAGAAGATTCGTGTATATCGCGATAGCGTGTCTGCGTACCGGAAATTTACTGACGCCACCGCACCAAGTGCGGTCGACTTGAGAAAAATGTTGCGAGATGAAGCTCGAATACTTGCGGCTTGCAGTATTTATCTTGAGATATATATGGCGCCATGACGAACAGTTGTTACAGTAATTATCAGTTTGTAAATTTTGCGGAAATACGCGAATTTAGAATCACTGAGGTATTGTATATTGCGGTTGTAATCGACTCATCGAATAACAAACATTGGATTATAGTTCACTATCGTCGAAACATCGAAAACGCAACTTTAGATTGTTACGTGTATGCGCGCATATTATTGTTAACAATTAATCCGCACGAAACTTGCACGGCCACCAATTAACGTCAACGATGTGCCAGTTAAACAGGTTCGGGAAAATAGATCCGTTAACGTTAATTATGTGTGTTATACAACCCATTAAAGTACCACTACCGCTTAATAAAATTACGCGCGGATCGATTTCATCGTCGGGTGTAATCGGTAACGCTTGGCAAATACTTGTGCGGTGATTGTCTTGCGATTGAAGGATCGAGGAAGAAACGGGAAGATATAAGCATAATAGGCTAGGCAGAGAAACCGTTAAAGTCCGTCGGGTACTATAAAACAATTCGAAGGAGAAACTTCACAAGCCTCGTAACCGCCAAAATTTATTCGCCCTTACTGTGAACGTATCTAACTTCTCGGAAGCAACTATTAATGGGGTCACACACTATATAGCCCTTTTGGCTTCGTTACTTTACGGTACCAAAGGTAATTCGATTAACTGCGTCCTGAAGCTAGAAACGGAGACGAGCCCGCTAATATCAATGTATACGATACAGAAACCATTTAAATTTACTTCTAATAAGATTTTTATCGTAGCGTATGGTTTTTCCCTGCCATAAATAATTGAAGCGTCCTCAATTTTACTATGACAAAGACTAAAAAATTTTGTTAGCAAAATATTATAACTACATGTTAAATTATCATTAATTTTTTCCAATACTTAAAAAAAACTGTTTTAATAGCGAGAATGTGTATCACCCAAAAAATTCCAAAATATATAATATATTACAACTTTCTCAAAGTTTTTATAATTTTAACGTTGCTAAAAGAGATTAAATTCGGTTCAACGAGTTTCTCTCTTGCTCGAAAAATTACATTACACAGTATACATATAAATAAATAATGACAAAAAAGAGGTCACGAGAAGTCTCTAATTGTTGGTCGTCACGCAGTGCCACGAAAACGTCCTCGACATTTTCCTTTTTCTACGTGAACGGCCATGTAGAGCCCAGCAAAAGTGGAATTCTCATTAATTGACGTGGTACTAATTAGACTTTTAATTAACGAGTCGGAAATAAACAACGATTTGCGAACAGACGTCACATTGCTCGTATCTCTAATGATTTAACTATCTATAGATAGTTAAATCTATAGTAGAAGTAATGTCGGCGCTTATTAATGCACATTAAGGAGCTAGATTATATTTAAAAAAATCTGTCAATTTGCTTGAATTTTTTATATGTTGTAGTTCTTGCATCCCTGATCAAAAATCTCTATTTACAAAACATTTATAATTTCTGAATTAAAAATATTTGAAATTCTTTTTTATGAGATCTGTTCGTACATTTGCTTACACAAGTTTGCATTTATGTGCTATCTATATATATCGGTATATACGAATGTCCGCGATGACTGCGTGCATGCGTGCATGCGTGCGTGAGCGTGTTCGTATCAGCAGAGATAAGAATCTCGCGGTTCGTTACTCCCGTAGTATTTAATGATGCTAAACTCTGCTGACACACGCACACACACACACACACGCGCGCGCGCGCGCCCGCGCGCACGCACGTACGCAAAAACTACACATATCAAAAATTCAAGCAAATTGACTGAAAAAAAAATATATATATATAAATTGTGCGGACTCCTTTGCACGGTCTTCAGTAGTGATTAGCAATCCGTGAAAAGCAGTAACTATCTTTATCTTTACCTTTTCAATACTAAATGGCTAACATGGTTTACTTTACATGGTAAAACTCATTTTTAAAAAATTCAAATTGTATTTCTTTCCAAATTATAATGATATGCGCTTTCGTGAAAAAAGTATACCAATATGCCGAGCTTTACAATCATGTTTGATCATAAATGTAAGACTCATGTCGCCTTCGATTATACCTCCGTCTAGACAAAGTCCCACGAGCCAAACATCGATCTAATGATATTACTGTCTATTATTTATTCGATTGTACGTCCTTCACATCTTTTTTTATACACGAATATGTAATCATACTATCCAAGAAACGCTTACTTTAAATAAAATATGCAAGGACCATTTCGCAGACAACTGACCTACCGCCACGATGAAGCGATGTCGAGTGGTACGTTATATCTTCGATGTCTAGCGTTTAAGTATCGAAAGCTACGACGATCGCGTTCGCGTATCGTACAGAAGAGTGCAATGTTAATGTCCTCGATGTATATATAAACAGCGGTAAAGAAAAATTTCTTTTTGACAAACATCGCCGGCTAAAGTCAGCACTTTCCGATTCTTGAGTTTCAAGGATCTCGCGAAATTTCGTATGAAACTCGATGCTGAGTTACGAGTCGAAGGCGGAAATTTATACGTGTCTGTATACGCGCACTCTCTCCCTCTTCTCTCCCCTCCTCCCCCCCCCTCTTTCTCTCTCTCTTTCTCCGTGGCATTTCGTTTTGAGTATTCGGAAGTAAAGCAATCCCGGTATCAACCTCACTTCCGCGACACCATATCATACAACAAAGAAAACATCACAGAAATGCCTAGAGATCTTGGAGATGTTCACGAATCGCTTTGAAAAATACGAGACACAACTGTTTCAAATAAATACAAAAAAGTACATTCAAATCTTAAATCGCTATTTAAGACTAAGATGTGATTTAAGATGTAAAAATCATTACGCGTTAACACGTAGCATCTTTGTATTAGCAACCAATATCAATTTTAAATAAGATATTTATAAATTTGAAAATGCATACAATTATAGGAGTTAGGAAAATCATTACATTGTTAACGCGTAGCATCTTTGTATTAGGAACCAATACCGATTTTAAATAAGATATTTATAAATTTGAAAATGCATACAATTAGAAATTTCTATGGCGATGCTTGAGAAAAGAAATCCGCGAATAAGATAACATTAAAAGCATCGATCTCTTGTAAACTAGCCAATCGATGCATATCATTAAGTCTTAGAAGCAACTTTATGACAATTTGTCTTCATTTTTATGTACATATTATAAATGTACATACATCTTTTTATTAATTCAAAAAATAAAGTCTAATAGTGATTTTTGTATTCTTCTCAACATTATTATAATAATAGAGAGAGAGAGAGAGAGAGAGAGAGAGAGAGAGAGAGAGAGGAATTCAGGAAAGTATAAAGATATTACCTCAAAGGTTAAAAATATTTCGCTTTAAAAATAAAAGTTTTTGATATAAAATATTTTCAGAGTACACGGTATAACAAAATAATTAAATGTCTTACATTGCATAATATCAAATTTTTTAATATATAGTAAAATAGCAAAAATTAATTAGTGACAATTAGATTATTAATAATACGAAAAGATATATAAATTGAAAAATGATTCTTTTAGATTTTAATGCGCATTTCCTACAGATTTAAAAAGATTCGATTTAAATTCCTTTCAAATAACATAAATATTTTACGATTCCTTTGCCGAGATAAAAAAAATTTATTGTATCGTAACAAAAATAATTCATTAATCAAAAGCACCGTGCGTCGTAGTCTGTAAATCGGGTGTGCGGTTTACGGCACCATACTTTCATTTTACCCGTTCTGCTCCCGGACAAATCCTATACATTGTCAATATTGTTACACGTTTATCCAATGTTTGAAAACACAACACAGTACGCTAATATTAATTGGCAATTGCGTTAGCGTATTCTGCCCTATGTGTCAAGTATTCATTCATCGTGTCGAAACTTGTTCTAATTTTAATCAAGCGTGATGAAAACTTTAAGCAGCAAACATAAAACTCGATAAAATTTCATAAAATGGTCTTCTTTTCCACAGATTCGAAATAATATTCGAAATAATCAAATCGCGACATTTTATTCAGATAGAAAGTCAATTAGATGTTTTACCCGTTTATTAATTGATTACATTAACGCGACGACAGTAAAATATCAACGATAGTAAAACGTCAATGAAAGAAAAACATAGATGTCATAGATCAAGAAAATAGAGCGTAAAGCTTTTTTTATATTATAAATTCCAGCCATTAATTTTTTGTATCTCTTTCAGCTGTATTTCGTCTTGAAAATGTGCATGCAGATTACAAATTTTGTCTAACATTTCATAAAACAAGAAAGATAGAAAGTTTCTCGTTCCGCGCTATCAAGAGTCAGGATGAGATGTGCCGACTGTAGAAATCCCTGGTTTCGCTCGATTGAGCAAATTTCATGTCGGGATAATCGATTTGGACTCTATTCGGTCGACCGTACCAGTGATTAGCAGTCATTGGCACGACGTGACATTTGTTCTCCTCATGTATCTCCGCCCAAATGAAACTCTGCTTCGTGCGATCACATCGCGGTTTACCCGGATCGAAGGGAGTTATGTCGTGCAAACGATCATATGCCGATCTTGCGTCAGCGATTCTCTTCTCCCGCTTGCGATTGCCAAAGTATGTCGTCGAATGTCGCTCGGTCGATGGTCCTACCTTATTAATTTATTGTCTTGCCCCATTTATTATTTTTATTTATAAACATGTCTGTCCTTTTAGAACTTTAAATAATTGTTTCAAGTATGATTCTAATAAATTACAGATCCCTACTATATAAATGTATATATATATGTGCATATAAATACATCCTGCATTATTTTTCATATAGACAAATCAATAAACGCACGTTTCCTAAGATACCTTTAAAAACTAGATATTACAGCCTTCATTGTTCATAAATACAAAAGTTTATTTTCTACGTCATTGTGATGCCGTTTAATGCCTCGTAAGATATCGAAATAAAAAATTGTAGCGATAAGATTATAAAGAATCATAAATTTACCACATCCAAACATTTCATCTCGTTTCGGAACCTAGCCTCCTGTCTCCGCATATGAATCCATGGCGTAATGAACTCGGTGCGATGCATACTCCAACATCCGCTGACAAATTTACGTTTAAGATGTATCGAAACGCTCTACATATAAAATAATCCAACATGATATCGCGCATTTTTTGCGAAATAAACGCAAAACGTTAACGAAACACAACACGCGAGATCGTACACGAGCTGCGATCCACGATCGGAAACCAGAACTAATCTAGAAATGCAAAATTATAATTAATTGCTCATATGTATGTATACATACATACATACAACTTCGCGTCCGTCGCCCGTTTGAAGAAGCCGAAGAAGCGTGCCGATGGTGCCGACCCCAACCGTGCCGACGATAATCAGGTAACGCCATCTCTTGAAATGAGCGGCAACCATGGAGAATATTAGTTCAAAGAGTTTGTGTCATGCGGCGCTGTTAGTATATTATCTTGTTGTCGGGCTTGTATAATCGGAGCATCGAACATAATGCGAGTGATATCACTGATATCGAGATGTAATTTAGACGGTAAATGCTTGTATGTACATACATATACATACATACAATCTCAAAAATAACAGTCAGCATCAATCCTGTGGGCCGTGTACGTGTGTGTGTAATCATACAAAAGAGAATTAGACAAAAATAAAGAATGGGATCTAATTCGATCAGTTCGATCAGGTAAAAAGACTAATGTTATTGAATAAAGGAGTTCTATATAGCTTCTTGATATGTGCGTTTGTAGAAAATAAAAGTAATTTAAAATTAAAATTAAAATTAAAAAAGAGAAAAACAGCGAGAATTCTTCAAATATGTATCTGAAAGAATTTATACAATTGCAATTTGTCAATGAAAGACTGAAAAAACATATATAAAATAAATTGTCAAATCTCCGTACATATATTATACATATAATCGATGTTATCAATTACGTTTAACTAGAGAAGATATTTAAAAAAATGTTTGCATAAATCTGCATATATATATATATATATATATATATATATATATATAATTGTTACGCCCGCGTCTACGCCCGCGTCTACGTCCGCGTTGTAAGTATACGTCATCAGGGAAACAGCTGACCGCTCGCTGATGGTTCATCGAACGACGCATACTTACAAGACGCGGACGTAGACGCGGGCATAACACTATATATATGTATCATTAATTATGACGCATCAAAAATCCATCATGATATAGATATATTTTACTTATATTCAGCTGTCTCTTTATTTGAATATATAATACTTTCACTTATTTTTTATAAGTCACCCAAACAGTATATATATACATACATACATATGTACACATGTACATACGATTATATGCAAAATGCTTACGCAAAAGATTATAAAGCTTTCGATTTCTATTTAAATTTACAAAATCAAGAATACAAATAAGAAAATTGTAGGTTCTGTTTTTTAAATATTTTTCTCTTTTTCTACATTTTATTTTCCTTTCTTTTTACATTCATAATTTAATAATTTTCCAGTGCCTGAAAATACAAGATTTCACACATCCAGTCTACGATGTCGCTTTGCAGTCAAGTCCCGCGATACCCAACGTAGACACGCATCGTACATTCTAAACTCTTATCGCAAAAGGGCAGGTATACTCCGGAGGTGCAATGCGCCTTTTTCGCTCGCTGTCGCTTCCGAGTAAAATGTTGCCCTTGGTAACATCTACGGTCCACAGTAACATCAGGCTGCACTTACGAATCTCAAGTACTCCACTTACATTCTTTATTTATTTAAGTAAACTTTTTACTGTACAGTATCATTTTTATTCAAGTTCAGTTTAACGTTTTCTTTCTCATCTTCATTTTGGTTCTTTCAAGATTTTACTAACTTCTCTAAATTATATTATACATTGATTAATTCTTTTGTTGACATAATATGTTGATTTATTTTTATATACGATTAAAAAGTATATTTTGTATGATTTGTATGACGAAAAATAGGAAAGGTAAAATTCAGATTGCTTCTATAGAACTACTAGATACTTATCAATAATTAACAAAAGCTGTTCTTCCTATTAAAATAAAATCTTTGTTAACGTCACAGTGCAACATCGTTACGCTTTTAAAGATTCATCGGTCTGTTAACGAAAGATAGAAAATAATGGGATTCACAGCAAAAATTCTTTACAGTATACGGATCACTCCATTCCTTTTTTTCTTGATGAAATGACTATGATAATGATTTAATTAAATAACAACGTAAAAATAACAATATAATCATGCAGAAAATTAAATAAAAAAATTTAAATTAGATATTAATTGTTTTACGTTTTCTTTAACAGTATATGCTTACATAAAATAGCTTCCCTACACTTTTTATTTGCAATACCTATAATGTATCCTTTGTTAATTTTTTTACGCCTTTCATTACTTTATAAAGAAAACTCAATAAAGTATAGTAAAGGATCTGCAAGGATCCTGCATGCAAAGATCTTCGTAACAAAATTTTCGAGAAAATTATATATTTTGTGGATTAGCCTATTAAAGCAACATTTTACAATAAAAATAGAATTAATAATTAAAATCGATATCGTAAAGTCTCTGAGAGCATCTCTTCGCTTCGTAAAACTACAACAAGAGCTTTGATACTCGATTAAAGAGCATTTGCTTAATTTGCGTGTATAGCGGCTGTTCTTTTTGTCACGTTCGTTACGTCGCCGCATCGGAACGAGACAGATTTAATCAAGTCAAACTGAGCGGACGGTGCGGTTAATTATCTAATGAAGTTAGTATGAACAATCATCAGGATTGCACAGAATCGACAAAATTCCTGAATCACGTTTTATTGTTCGTCAATTCCCGCTTTTAAGTTGATTTGTAGTATTTTTTTATGTAATAACTAATATCATATATATTCGAAGTTATTATAGTCACACACATACACACACACAAAGTTTTTTTAAGCAGAGTCTTGTTTTAACGTAAATAACACTGTGCTTTTAGAAATTGTTAAAAAATTATTTCCGCTGCTTTAACTAAATTTGATTCTAATAAAGTACAAAAAGAAAGGAAGAGAAAAAAAGAGAAAAAATGAGACGACCATTTTACGTTGGCAAATCTTTCGCATTTATCTCCAGCGACTAGAGAGGGAACCTCGACCGTCGTATCGCTGTGCGAATCGTGCGAAATCCTCCCAAAAATCTCGACTGAGATGGCTTAGAACGGAGAGAACAAAAGTACACTTTTGCGGAAACCTCACACTACGCTAACGCTACTTGAGTACTCCGGCCGGTATTCCAGATATGTGATAGAATCTCTGTGAGCCATTTTGCCAAAATTCTATCGGGAGATATGCACGATTTAACTCCGCAATAAGAGGAAAAAAGAAAAGTGCTTGATAACTCGGATGTATCTTTCTGAAAGAGCCAAAGAAAAGAGACGGGTAGACTAAACGCTGAAGATAAATGCGAAGCATACACAGTTCATACAACACAAGGTAGAGCTTAATCAGGTTCGACTAGTTGGCAGGTGCGAGCATCACGTTTGCAGGAATAAGGAATAAGTGGTTCTCTCCGAGAAACTTACGTGGTTCTGCTATCTTGTACTCGTCGCAAGAAACGCAAGTCCGGATCGATACCAGACGTATAGCAAAATGTCGTCTCGGTAGCTTTCCTAGTAGCTTCATAGTTTCATTTAGAGATATTACAAAAATATTTGATACATTCGCTGTCTATAATTAAAAGAGAAACGAATTTATAGTTTAGTTTGACTCGATCTCAGAATTCTATCAATATTCGTATAGCCTTTCATGAAAAATTCCAGCGATGCTCGTGTCGATTGATCGCCCGGGCTCGCGTAAGTAAACTAATCTTTTACTGTTATGCCAGACGAGACGTATCCGAAGATTTTTACCGCATATGTGTCATGACTGCGCCTATATTTACCGTGGTTCGCGTTCCAGAGAAGCGTCTCTCTCTCTCTCTCCCCTCCCTCCTCTGCCCCTTATGAAAAGTAGAGACCTCGTGGAATAGCGTATAGACTCGGGTCCTCGTTACAATCGGCCTATACGACCACCGTTGAATCGTTTGAGGCGTTCGTGTTAATGGCAACGTGTCTCTCCGGTATACCGTTAAAGCCTCCACGATGCTCACTGAACCTAATTAATGACGCGTTCGCGTTGCGCCGGATATACCACTACGCCTATATAAGTGACCAGCTATCGAGGATGGCGCTCTCAGGCGCACGTGCTACCGCTCAACATCCGTCTTACTAGCTAGCTGTCACGCTATTACCCACTGTACTTCAACTACTTAGTAGATAGGTATGACCGTGAATAGATGGGCGGTAGACAGCCGGCACGTGCGAGCGCACGGCGCGGCGCCGCGGCAAGCGCATAGATCGTTCGCGCTCATATGTATGTATACACGTATAATTATCTCCCCTTCTTACTCCGAGTCCGAGATTTCTTGCCGGTTCGCTTCCAGATACTATCATCGTGCTCCGATGATCTTTTTCTCGCCGGAATTGCTCATCCGCGACATCCGCGAGTGACATCAATCAAACTTACCTGCTTGCTCTTTGAACGGGTTGCAAGTTGCGAAATAACATTGAGTAACACGTAGTCGTTGCAGTCGTATCGATTCCCAACTCGGAATATGATTAAGTATTTATGTACTTGTATTTAATCACGGGCGGGGTATACAAGTATACGTAGCGTGTACTCATTGGTTCCGCTCGAGTAATGATTTATGTTCCCCGCGCGCGTACACAGGACGCGTAGCAAAAGTTGCTTATTACGTTCGCCAACTGGGAGAAGCACATAAAAAGGACAACACGTCGAAACCTGCGGTAAACTGACGACGCGTATGTTGACTCTATCCAAAATACGTGTAGATCTTTCGAGATACTAATTTATTTAGCACCATTACCTGAGATACGGTAGCCGTTTGCCAACTAGGATTCCAGCACGCATAATCACTGATGTGTACGTGCGCCAGAATAACTCCTCTTGTAACGTCGAGACAACTACGTCTTGAGCGGTATCAGAGGTCCGTGTCGAGGCGTGGTGCGACGTTCCGTGTAAGTTGCGCATAGAAAAGCCGTTGTTCCAAGTTAGTCCTCTCATTCCACGCGATTTTTTTCCGCGCGACTACGAACAACTCGCATGACAACGATACAGCAACGACAATCGCGAAGTCAACTCGGTTAATGCTTAGTTAAGTAATGGGCAGCGCGCGAAGTCACGAGCTGAACAAATAATAGGCTACCACTCGACGTGATGGCGTCAATTCGTTCTTTTCTTCCTCGTCCTCTTGGGCTATCTTGACCGTCTCGAAACGGCTAATTCAACTCTACCCCGGAAATGGAGAATGCATTTTACTCACTCGAGCCAAGTCGCGATGTATGCTCGCTGAATATATTATACGAAAGTGATCTTGTATATAGCGAAGACCTTTGATCTCCTTTCATCCCCACGGTATATACGTCAGAATAAGCGCAAGATTCTGCGGAAGCCAGTTTGTTCCAGGTAGCATCCATTGTAAATTGAAAGAAGTTCAATACGGAATCGATACTGTTTAAAAAACTAATTTTTTCGTGCGTAATCATAAAATTGTTTTTGTGAGTTTTTATGTAGAGAAAGCATAGGATTTCCCGAAATGAAAGTATATGACAAATTTATTCATGATTTATAAATGATTATACTGCCGATTCATAGCGCGATTCGGGAAACGACTGCCGAACTGCTAACGATTCTCCGACAACTGTTTCATTCGAAGAGAAGGGAAAGAAAGTATAGTAAATAAGGATCGTCTCACGTATGAAACGATTATCCTACGTATGAGACGTAAAAAAATGTTAAATAGCGCGCGCGAAGCGCGCATCTGTAATACTAGTTCAATATAAAATTTGTAACGATGTGATGACGATGCCGTATTTTACTCCATTCTTCCGAGTAATTTCAATTTTCCCTCTCTCTCTCTCTCTATATATATATATATATATATATATCTTTATGTCGTTTTCTATTTGTCTTCGTTTCTCTCTGCGGAACCTCGTTGATCTGCACCAATAATCGCAATATCCGTATATGCGATATGACGCGTACCACCGTTCCGTCGGGTCTGCCTAGAAACTAGCTAAAAAGCCGAGTGTTTGAAATGAACGCAACTCATGTGCAGACATTAATGTTCGGAATAGTTTGAATGAATTATGAATAATAGTAGCATTAATACTTCTTTTGCAAGCTCTTGCTGCGAGAAGGTCAATTTAATGATTGTTTCGATTTTAAGCAAAATTAATAAAATATTAAATTATTTACAAAAGTAGATATGAATATACTTGCAAAAATTTTGATAATATTGTAATATGTCCAAAGTGCAAAGTGAAGCAAAATGCATATTTTTCACACGAATGTTTATACGGCATTCGCTTATACCGATACTGATGTGAGTACTATTTACTATATTACTAATCGCGCAAGTTGCCAGATTCTTCATAAACTCCGACATGCAACGTGGCTCAACGTCAGTTGGTGATACTTACAACATATGCACCACTTTCGAACTTTTGACCTGAAAACGAAGAGTACGGTCGAATGGGGAGCACGTAGCCGTAAGTTAGCACAAGGTCTGTGGCAGAGAGACGCCACTGAATTTCGCTCAAAGTTCAGAGGTACTCGCACGACCTCGGGGCAAAGGTAGGCAAGTAAAGTATCTATATGCACCTGAAATTCAACGAGAGCAAGCTCTCAGCAAACCTCATCACCGACTTCTTCATTGTCGAATACTTTACTATGGAGTCACGTTTAAATTACATGCACAGTACATCGACTTGGCGCAGATTTGCTACTATCGTTTAGCATTACAAATCAACGTCGGTAATTATAACTCAAGATATTCGTGACATCAAGAACATTGAGCTTGTTCTACTTTTAAACGTAAATAATTTGAAACAAGAAGAAGCGAGACATCGATTTTAAATTTAAATCATTTCTGTTCTAAATCACAGGAATGACATCGATCGTTCTTATTAAGCTACACCGCACAATTAACATACACTACGTCGCACAGCATTAGCTATAATTTTCTACATTTACTCTATAGACAAAATAGGTTGCTTTTTGATTAACCATGATCATTGGTATGCACCTGACAGTATTAAGAACATTCGCCGAGAGAACAAGACAATAGCTGGCGACCCTGTTTCGTGATATGCGAACGAAAATACGCATCACGTGTGCCCGGACGTGGTCTGTGGCTACCAGCCCGTCTGAATGATCAACGCTTCGGATCAATTGGATCTGTAGGTACCAATAGAATCATCGAGAAGAAGCCAAATGTGGATGAAAGAGCGCCAATGCTTTTTTTGCGTAAAGCCATTTCTTCCATTAATATTTAAAACAATAAATGGAAAGATAATATAAAATAGCTTCATGATTATTACAAACGTGAAAGAAGCGGAAATCTTCTCTTAGACGATTATATGTTTGCTCTATTGTATATGCATTCCACATCTTCTAAATATATCATTGTTACAATATTTTCCAAGCATTTTTATAAACTACAGAAAATCCGCGAAAAACATTATATCACATTAAACTAATTATGATTGAAATGTGCTCGAATTCTTTTTGAAACTCGGAGTTGCATGATCGTGTACGTTACATGAGAAACGTCCGGAGCATGTCGCCATAGAGCATTTTACTCTCAGAGACGACAGTAGCAGAGACTAGATAGCAAAGAGAGAAGTACTGCCTTTTAGGGCAGTTAAGTGCACAACGCTTCAACTTGTATTTTGTTTTCTCGTCGTTTCTCGATCCGTCTGTAGCCTCGTTGTCAGATCAGATCGAATCAACCATTGCATTCTGCCCTGCCTTTCGCACGACGCGAGACGAACGCGCTTATGTGGCCGATCCCGCGACCCCGATCCTTCTTAGAACGCGCGAACTGGCAAGGGACTTCACCACGAGTTTTTAGCGCCATCGTCAAAACGGAAAATATTTCTTTTTTTTACTTGTAAAGACTTTTATTACAAATAGCGAAAACAACGTTGTCCAAGCTAACTTACAATTAAATAATATTGTAATATGTGATTATATCTAATTATATGTAGTTGAAGTAAAAAGTAAGTACAGTCGAATAAAGAGAAGGACGAAAAAAACATGAAAAGGAAAGTAAGATATGAGAAAGATGAAACGATTATGATGAGGAGAGTGACAAGGGCATGGAAGATATAACAATTTGCTTGAAATTATTCAAATCCGGAGAAATCAATGATCAAAAAATGACAAACTATAAACGTCAATAATGGTTCCAAAACAATAAATTTTACCTGATTTTTATCTAATCTTTTCTATTTTGCAGATATACACTTGATGCGATCACGATAGGTTGAAATTACATAATAGCGGGAAGCAACATTAATTTGCGAAAAACATTTTGACGAACGTAATCTATGATGGATTGTTTACGTTAAATGATTATCGGGGATTATCGATTTGTGTCTGTGTGTACTACGTGTAATACGAGGTTTAAAGCTGAAAAGTGATGTAATGTGCTAGAGGAAGTAAAGTTTTCTCTGGGATTTAGGACGCAAGCTCACTAAGATTCATGAAGGATCATAAGGTAACAGGATCTATCCATCGTATCTCTGACGTGCACTCACGTGATCTTATATCACACATTTGCGAAGGCACGCCGAGTGACGCGGTGACGCAAAGCGTTCCCCGCGGAGAACGGGGCTGCGATTGATCGATTTTGAAGGGATCTGAAGAATGCCGACGAAAGGACAGTGGCGTCGATGGCAGTGGCGTCGATGGCGAGGTAGTTTTCAGTAAATGTGTCGAAGTTCGCGGAAGACGCGGAGCAATGTCGTTGCCCTCTTCTCCTCGGTCTGCTCGGCTGTCCAGCTCGGCTCGGCTGTCCGGCTCCACCGCCTCCATCGTCATCGTCATCGCTATCGCCGCTACCACCGCCGTCGCCGCGTCGCGTCGCCGCCACCGTTGCCCAGTTGTTCTTCTTTCTCTATCTTCACTTATCGCTTCCTTTCGTTCTCTCATGATATTCTCTGCCACCGCCGCCACTACCACCACCGTCGTTGCCGCCGCCGTCGCTGCTTCTGCCATCGTCGCTTCCTCCGCTACGGGTACGTACTATCCCTGTCCCCTCCGCGAGACCATCCTCTTATTCCCACTCCTTCTGTGGAGCACCTGTCGTGCCAGGGAGTTCGGCGCGTTAGGGGCGCTCGATGGAGGTAAGTGGATGGTAGGTTATCAGTCGGCGGAACATCTTCGTCGCGAACGGGAACGCGAGCTGCCCGGTGTGGTAACGGCGTGTAGAGAAGAAACAAGAATCAAGTGTGGAAATATATTATTAATGTCTATGCCAGCTATATCACAGCAAATCACTTCCGTTTAATCACGTGAAAAGACAAAGTAATTTAAACAAAAAGAGATTGCTAGTGCCTTCTAGCCATTTTAAGAAATTAAAAGTATTCCGTTAATAAAATAGTACTACGTACGGAGTCCCACACCATTCGGATATTTTCCGGCTGCGGAGACATCCGTGTATTTCCACGATAAGACACAGACACGTTCCGGTAAGTTGCAGTCGCACGATGACCGCGACCACGACCGCGCCAAGGTAAACGCTAGCAAGGAGGTCACGGCGCCGGTGAATTGTGTTAAGTGCGCCAAGCGACTTATCCAACGAGGTCCGCGAGAAATCTCGTCATTAGTAGTGTACACGACGGTGAACGCAGAACGACATACGTCCGGCGATATAGCATTTACACAATTGATTTCGCCACAAAAAAGATACAAAAAGAAATTACGTCTGCAGTCGTAATAAAGTTTCCGGAACAAGACGAAATAATAAGATAATAAGAAGACTGCCGGGATGCTGCACGAGGAGCTATTGAGCTCCAGCTAACACGTGGCGATTACGCGCACACTCCGCAGTTGCAAGGTGAGTCTTACTATTGCAAACTGTTACTACTATTTGGCCATTGCCATTGCAATGAATTCACCTTACTTTATGATATCTTTCTATGATGATATCACAATATTTGATACAAATTATTTTACATTGTGCTTATTATTATATTCCCTAAAATGAAACGTAAAATTTAAAAATGCATTGATAAAATGAGATAATGATACAAAATAATTAATCCCTGAAATAAATTTCATTACATCAGTATAATTATTAGATACAACGTTAGTCGTTAAATGACGCGTAATACACGTGTTTCTTATGATATACAAATACAGCTTTTTAATGACCGAACGTTAACCGAGAGCTTGATTTATAACATAAAAAATATTAAAACGTCTTCTATTTAAAAATTAATCGGGATCAGTGCTAATTTGTATCGAATGCAAGTAACTGAAATAATATTTCAAAGTATATTCCATTTGATGTAAAAGAGCTACGCCGAAGGAACGAATTACTTGCGATCCACACTTGCGTGATCTGCTTACTGATGTAAACGCGTGCGAATAGAATGACCGCGCCGAAACAACCGGGCGGATAAGGTTCTTGTATGAGGAAATTTGGAGGGGAGAGAATGTGGTCGGTCGACAGGCAAGGAGGCCTCACTAAATTTTCGTGCCGCTGGTCCGGACGCAATGTGCCTGAGATCCCCACGTGCTTTTAAACCGCCTCTCTGTCTCCCTCCCCCCCTCCTCTCTCTCTCTCTCATCTTACATCTTTCTCTTTGATCTCTCTCTCTTTTACTTCACCTCCTTATATTCGTTCATCTTTCGTTGGCCGCTTTTCTCCTCCTCGCTTCTTTCTCTTGCACATACGGATAAAGACTTCGTTCCATCGGATCATCGGCTTCACTCTCCTCTCTACGCTCCTTTCTTTTTCCCTTTCTCTCTCTCTCTCTCTCTCTCTCTCTCTCTCTCTCTCTCTCTTCACTGTCTCTACTCTCATCGGTCTTTATCCCTCTTCTACCTCTTCGGAGTTGAACTGATCAGCCAACCGCTCTTTGCGAAGCTCGAAGACGGCGAGGAGTTAGCGCGCGCATTCCGGTTAGCGGTCCGCCGAACGCATCGCCGTTACTGCTTCTTTAGCTACTGCCGTTGTTGCCCTCGTGTCTGTCGCCATCGTCTCATCATGAATGTCGGTCAATCCGTACTTTCTCGATATAAAAAAGGATAGATATCAATTTGATTGTATATATAGACCTATGCACCTTTTAAATCGATAATGAGATGAGATTAGATTAAAATGAGCAGTTAACTGACTATTCTGATTTATAACTGACGAAAAAATAAATTTCAGTTTTTACAAATATAACAAGACAGTGCTATATATTATTTCCTTCTATAATACATGAATTAACATATTTAAATCACTACTTACATCTTAAATTACTACTTCGATTACAAACAAATCAGAGGTCATCTATCGCGAAATGAATGGATTCGTATGATTTGTTTTGCGACGTGTTTTATAAACGCGTGTAACATCCTATTATACGAGTTTGCACTGCGGACACTACCGAGATATACAAAACACACGAGTACCTATATGTGAACCGGATTCGAATAAGCTCGCATGCATATACGCGTGCGTGAATGCGAATTTGTATTGTACGTGTACATCGGCCAAGACAGAATTTCTGTGAAACGCCACCGCTTTCATGTGCGTATGGCGTCATTCGAAATTGTGTTAGCTCTTTTGCATGCTACTCGCTATTCGCATTTTGGAACAATGTACGTCGTTCAGAAACAAATTAATAGCGGATTGCACGCGTAGAGCTGTTTTATCATTTTGAGAGGTCATGTAGTATATTTCATGCGACACATAATTTGACTTTATTCATACTTGCGAATATATATTTGTAAATTAAATGAAAGATTAGCCTATTATCAAAGAATAGAAGAATTAATATAACAATTTTTTGTTATAAACAACAGCATCAATGCTATGTAGGACAGGATTTTCATTTCTGGAATGAACTGCACTTATGCGCAACGCATACCAGCCTTGCCAAATTCACGGTTCGCACAACGAGCATTCTTTTCGAAATTTGCATCGAAATAAGTCGCCGAACGTCCATTTGCCCTCTCCACCCATCGTTGGCGAGCAAAAGGAGTACGCTAACGGTTTTTGAACAGGTGTCATCTCTTTTTTCCGCGCTTCATGAAATATTCACCAGGCATACGATTACGTTAGTACGGGCCGTACTAATCCATCCGTCGACGACGTCGGGACATTCAACCTCACCGCATACGTCTTGGAATCGCGCCCGACATAACTTTGCATTCGTTTGCCAATGTAATTCCTTGGCGAATTAACATTGCCGTGTCGCGACTTTGCTTATTTGTACGCCGAGACTTCGGTATGTACCGTGGGAATAACGATCGTTTATATTTCCTCGACCGACAGTTATATCAGTCATTTACGAATGCGTAATCATCGAAAAAATTATGGTGCAGCACACGCATTACAATTTTTTTTCCGTAAATACTCGTGAGATCAAAATCATGAGTCCCGAGGATAATTTTTATTGATAAATCAGATATTCAGCATGATGTTCGAGCTAGATATATCACATCACGGAAATATGACATATATATATGGTAAATAATTAAATACGAAATCCTAATTGACCCGTGTAATTGTAATTTTAATTGATTTTCTGTTGATGTGAAGACCCAGACTATCTCTCGCAGCCGCGATACATTATGAATTAAATATAATCGATAAATCATTCATCAGCATATTAAAGGAGAAAAAAGACAAAGAAAGATATACCTAAAAGTAATCATCAATAAAACAATAATAACAAATTTGGGAACGGTGTTATTACACCTAAATTACGCCAATTATTTTGTGATTATTCCGTGATGTTTGTTAAGAAAAAGATCATCTACAATGTTTTGTAGAGATGTTTCAGTATATACATACACAAAATAACTTTAGTTATAAAATTAGACTAATACTTAAACATTTAGCCAAACGTTCTCGTGTGTACGCGAATTCCCGCTCGACATCCAATTATTCGCATGCGTTATTTTACAAATGTGAAAGTACTATATAGGATTGCTGAATGAAGAACTGTTTTGCTATTCTGCCTATAATTTCAGTATATAAAGTCACTAAAAGGATGCGGTTAACAAACGTCATTTGAAAAAATAAATCATTTTCCTTTACATTTGCAGTAAGAAGCTTGTGGAAGTGCGTTTATCGCTGAGGTGTCGATAACTATACAGCGGGCAGCAACCACACAGTTCTTACCCTGTATTTATCCATAATCGCATCGCGTGTGCGCACGCGTGACGTGCCGCGTGCACGCATGTACACGCGTGTTCTCTACACGCGCTATTTCTCATCAAACAGACATTCCGCACGCGATAATTGTCTCCGGTCATTTCCGTCGCAACGACGATCATTGGGTCGCATTAACCGTTAATGTTAACATAACCGATCTCGATCGCGGTGAATGGATCGTAAAGTCAATTACGCGCGCGGTTACGACTCGTGGACCGAATCCCAGCTCCGCACGTCGCGCCGCGCCGCATTGGCAAGCTCGTTTCGCTCCCGCATCCTTTTCGATTTGCCGAGTAATAAATTCCCGAGCACACGCAACGCACAACGCGCACAACACACACAGCAGCGAGGAAGAAAGGGCTGCGATCAAACGGAATAATCCAAAGGTTATGCCGTGCTCGAGCGAAACGGTAAATTTCAACGAGTCTAGTGTCATTGGCCGATCAATACGCGGTTAATTATCGCGTTTATATTTCGTAATAACTTTAATTGTGTCGTGCATGCGAGCGCGATACGATCGATACGATATTTCTGTATTGTACCGTACGTGTGTAATTTTATGTGGAATGAACTGTAGATGAAGTATAACGGTACGAAGCATAATCGAATCATATAAGAAATGAATTAATGATGCAATCTACTCTTTCATCAAATCGATACTGTGATACTTTCCTTTCTATTCTATTTTAACGAGATGCGATGTATTAATATACGCAGGATACATTATCTACGAGATTAACGCACATATAAAATTGTTGCAACATCAGCGTATGATGACGTGCGCTTATTATAATTCTTATAATGTAGTTTATCCAGATGAATTGTACCCTCATTCTCCATTGTGTTCTATAATACAATCAGACTTGAAAAAGGAAAGTGATGATTTTACACACATGAGAATTAATACTTTGGAAGATATAAGATGCTGCAAACATTTCAAAGATAAATTGGAATCGTTACTTGCACAATTCTTAAAAGATGCAGCAGTAGTATATAAATCGTCGTATAGTATATGTATATAAATGTTTGTAACGTTAAATATCCGACGCTTCTGAACATTCTTGAAACATTCTGCAAGTTCCTGAAAAGTTTCTATGTACTACCATATAAATAGCCGGAATAAGATCATTTTTTAAAAATAATGTCAATATACTTGTATTAAATTCGTTTATATTTAACACAACTACTCTCAATATCTACTTATTCAACATATATATATATGATATACTGTTTGATGAATAGAAAAAAAAAGTTTGTTACACATAACAATTTTCGACAAAGAATGCTTGTCAACAAGAAAAATCACTTTCGCGATAATGTTATGTAGAAGTATTATGTAAATGTATTATGTATATTTAGTATATTAGGCCGGAAATTTGGCAGTCACACATTTATCGTATATTAATACTGGTCATTACCTCAGGCACTAAGCGGTACGTTTGTCGGTACGCAATGCACGATCGTGCTCCGGAGAATTTATAAAGCTTATCGGTATACGGCTGTCGAGTATTAAACGGCCAGAAGAAGAGGAGCCGAACCTGGTAACGCTATCTTGACCCGGTTCGCAGCGATGAATGTTTCGCCAAGTTCTTTTCGAACATGAATCTGCAATTAACACACACTCTTACACATTTCGCTTCGATCGTCATTCCACATCACGTTTAACAAATACGAAGATCGCA